GTGACCAAACTTCGCACAGCCCTATTATTTACTATTACTGCAAGATTTTTACCTCATATAGGAAGCCTCAATTATCTTTAGAAACAAAAATATACAAAGATTCTCATAGATGTTGTCCTTCAGCTCATGAAACTGCTCTGTGCTTTAATTCTGATTTGCTCATGTCTGTTTAAATGTATGTGCCAGTCTCTGATGTTTCCTGATAGAAACATTTAATTTTGGCAGCACTAAAGGCCCTGGACAGGCTGTTTTTCTTCTCTGCGGTTGCTTATGCTTTTTTATGGTTTGTACAGCTATCTCCATATCCTCAGACTGCCTGTGTGGGAACTGCATGTGGCAATGATACCTACTGTTGTTGGTAGAGATTCTCTGGCCTGACCCCAGTGATTAAGTTACTGCTGATTTCAGCAAACAGACTTGTGTCTTGTTTGAAATATATGCAGGAAGGGGCTTGTGCCATTGCTTCCCACCTCTTTATAAATGCTAAACGTTATGATGTTTGCTGTCACAGTAAAATATTTTTTACATTCTATCAACAGTGCTGGAAAATGAAAATATTTAATTTCTTGCATTTGAATAAAAATTCTCTAAAAAAGGCCTCAACCAATAGGAGCTGACTTTCGTTTTTGCTGGTGGGTGTATTTTTTTTTTTGGGGGGGGGGGGGAGTTGCATTCCCATGAGGAGCCCTGCACATTCCCAGAAGAGGCAGTGCATTACTTGATACCAGCTTGCCCAACATCTGTACAGATCGGGAACTTTAGTGGGGTTTTGGCACTTTTACCTAATAGCTCGGGGTGGGAAAAATATGCGGGCTGCATCCGGCACACCAGGCCATTCTATCTGGCCCACAGGGCCCCTAAAAAATTTAGAAAATGTATATTTATCTGCTCCTGGCTACCTGTCAAGGGTGACAGGAGCCAGGGGCAGTAGGACCCAGGGGGAGCTGGCACAGCCAGCAACAAGGCTTGCCCCACCCTGTCCCACCTCCAGTCCCCTCCCACTCCTGGACCCCCAACTGGAAGTCTCTGCCTGCCACAGCTTTTGGGCTGCTCCAGCACCACATGGCCACATCGCCGGATCACGAGAGCACAGGGCCCACATCTGTACCCCAGGGCCAGGAGCAGGGGTGGGGGGGGGTGCGCGCGCACAATGAGGAAGGGGGAAAGAGAGAGAGACAGAAAGCAATGAAGGAGGGAGAGACTCTGTGTGTGTGTGTGTGTGTGTGTGTGTGTGTGTTTGTTTGTCAGGCGCGGCTGGTGAACTCAGACGGGAGTGTCCCATGGGAGCAGGGGTGGGGTTGAGGCGTGTTGCAGTCAGCCAGGAGAAGGGGGTTTGCAGCCTCCCCACTACCAGCTGGAGTGCTCGGCCAGCTGCAAACCCTCCCCACCCCTGGCAGGCTTCAAATCTCCCTGCCCTCTGCTCTCATGAGACACTCCACCTATCACACCAGTCTGAGTTCACCAGCCGTACCTGGTGTGTGTGTGTGTGTGTGTGTGTGTGTGTGTTCTCATAGGGCAAGTCCCACACCCTACCATACAACTGCATCCACACCCCCCTCCTACTGCCATACACACAGTCCCCCACACTCACACCCTCTCACACACCCCAGCCACCCTCTCCCCCACACACAGTCCCCCACAAACCGCATACCCAACCACACCCCACATATCCACACACACCCACATGCTCCCTCACTCCACACTCACACACCCACACCTCACATACCCACACACTAACAGCCCCCCATAAAAGTATTCCTATGCCCCCAACGCCCCACACAATGTTCAAGAATAAGACTTCATTTTAAGCTATTGTGTGATCACCTCTATGTATACTACACAAACACATATAAATCAGGACAAAAATATTTTTTGAAATCAAATTAATGAATGTTGCAGATGTTTGATTTTTAGAATATAATTTGGTATGTTTCTGGTTCTGAGATGGCAAAACTCCTTGCTGAAAGGAATATTTCTGGGGGCAAGAGGAGGGACTTCTGGTGGCAAAGGTCAGGGGTTAGGGGGAGGGATGTCTGGTCACAAAATGGCGACCAGGGGGCGGGGCACCTGTCAAGGGGCAGAGCTACCAATGCGGCCCTGGACAGCTTGCCAAAACTCAGTAAGCAGCCCTCCACCCAAAATAATTGCTCACCCCTGTAATAGCTGATTGAAGCTAAAAGCACCAGAAATCACCACTGAAGCACCCAAACTTTACAGACACTGCAGAGCTGGGCTCAAGTACTGCAATGCTTCTTCTGGTAAACGATGGGTTTTGGGGGCTTTTTTTAATGTCTGCATGCTTGAGCCCCAGAGCACTCATGGAGTCGGTGCCTGTGCCTCAACCTCTGGTTCAGTTCAGAAGTCAAATAATTCAGTGCTTCCCAAGTACTTAATCTCACCAATATCTTAGCAAATATAGACATTTTTACATGTGCTCCAGCACAAGCCGTGCTAATAAAAAGCACCCACATATCACATGTATCAGTGTCCCCAAACTAAAAAATTGAGGCGAGGCAGTTTGAACTAAAGCTCATTAAACTTGTTTTATTTCAAAGTGCCCTGCCACCATTTTTTCAGTGTGGGCACACATGGAGATGCTGATACACATGATGTGGAAGGCTGCCAGAGTGTTTCAATTTCCGTGCTCCACCAGACTTGAGCAATTGAGGTGGATTTTCAGCACATTGAAGCAGACTCCCCACATGTCTCTAGGAGCCCTATGAGATACCCTCATCGGCCCATCTCTCACTTGGACATCAAACAACCTCTTTTTGGGCTAGGGACCAAAGTTACACATAAACAGATTTAAGTGATCAGAAACTGGTTTGAACCTGTAACCGAACAAAAGTTCAGTGCACATAAACCAGTTTCAACACGGCCAAAACCAGCTTAAAATAAACCTGGTTAAATGCAGTATCAGACTTAACGGATTTGGGTCAAACTGGTTTCTGGAACTTCTGTCCTAGACCTCTTCCTGTTTAAAGTTAAATCAGAGTCCGCCAGCATCCCAGCATGCTCTGCAGGCCTGGGCTGGTCTGTGCTGTCTGCTCCAGAGAGCAGGGCTGGCCCCGCCCCTCTGTTCCTAGCCAGAGCAAGGGCAGCCACGGGACCTCTGGGGAGAGAGGGGACAGGGGGGAATAAACCTCATCCCTACCCCCTTCACCTCAGGGAGCCAGGCCCCCACCCCTGATGCTGCATTGATGAGGTGGGGATGGTGTCCCAGGGAACACAAGCCTCTTCCTGCAGGGGGGGTGGGGAGGGTGCAGCCTTTGCTGCAGGTGGAAGCAGAGCAGGCAGAGCTGTCCCAGCCTGTGCGGGGCAAGCAGCAGTGGCAGGGCTCGGAGCAGTGGCTGTGGAGACTAAGCTGAATTTTGGAGTGGCCCTAGTCCTTCAAGTCCCCACCTAGCATCGCCACCACTGCCCTTCACCCTGTGTAAGCTGTGGCAACTCTGCCCATCCTGCTCCCACCTGCAGCACAGCCCCTACACCGGGAGGAGGCTTGCACTCCCCGGGACACCATGAAAGGGGCTGCTACCCCATCAGGGTCCCACCCCTGTCACTGCTCCAGCAGCAGGGACAGGGGCATGATGGCCAGACACTGGCTGGCATGGCCCCGTGAGGCAAAGCAAGCAGGGAGGGGGTTTATTCCCCACTCTGTTCCCTCTTCCCTTGGGGAACCCCAGCCAGGGTCTGCCTGGCTGGGTGTGAGTGGTGGAAGTGGCAGCTGGGGCTGCCAAACCCCAGCTGTGGTCCCGTGGTGGGAGAGGGGATGGAGGAGGAATACACACTGTCCCTGCCCCCTTCACTTTAGGGAGCCATGCCAAGCTGGGATCTGGCCACACCCAGGTGGCAGCAGTGGCAGGAAAGCCATAGACGTAAGCACAGCCCCCTGTACCAGGCACAGGGCGCTACTCCTACGGCTTCCCTGCTGTCTGCCCACCCAACGGCCGACTGCAGTTTGGCAGCACAGGTAGTGCCTACCACTACAGTGATGGCAGTGGCAGAAAGCCATAGGGGTAGAACCCTGTGCCTAGTACACAGGGCTGTGCTGCACCACTGCCACCACTGGGTAGTGGAGCAGTGAACAGGGCACGCCCAGCTCAGTGCCTGGTGTCCCAGGTAATAGCACTGAGGCTGAGGGGGTGAGCCCAGACAGTGCACACCACTTCAAGGGCCGGGGCTGCCCTGGAAGTGACTCTCTAGTGGGTGGAAGGGGCCACTGGGCAGGAGCTTTCCTTTATGGAACTTAGCTACCTGGGCCCTTCCCTCCCCCAAGTCAGGCCTTTGCTCCTGGGCTGCCCCAAGCAAATCCCAGCCCCAGTGACTGAGAAGGTGCAGAGGGATCACCTGTTCACCTGTTAGCTGGGAGGAGGGCTCTGGGGGTCCCAGGCCATATTGAGCCACGAGCAGGGAGAAAAAGGCAGGCAGACCCTGGCTGGGATCGCTGCAGGCCAGGGTAGGGATTTAAACCCCTCCCCAGTCATACTCAGCCTGCCAGAGCCTGGCTGCGCCCCCTTCAGTTTGGCTTCCCTCCAGCCTGAAGGGAAAGTGGGGTTTGCTCTAGTGCGCCCCAGCTTCTAGCCTAAGCCACTGTAAGCATGCGCCTGCATTTCCAGAATCAAAAGTGAATTCACTTGCAAATCAGTTACTGCAAACTAACCTGCAAAGACTGAATCAATTCAGGCTCCAGCTTTTTGAATGTCTGTCCCTAACTTTGGAGATCCCACAGTAAGGGGCCTGCAGATCACTAGCAGTGCATGGACAAGAGTATGAAAATCCTTGAACTAAACCATTTGTCATAGAGGTTAAAACATATTCCAAAAAATCAAATCTTCACCTTTAACATTTTGATTCATTGTCATTTAGGTGACAAAGTAACAAAAACATGTATAAAACATTTTGACGTACCTGGAATTCTAATTCGCCTTTCAACTTGCATTTTCTTTTTTTGCCATTAGACCCTTCTTCCTATGATCTGGTAAAAATGTAATTTTTCTTACCTTTCCCCTGTGTAACCTGGACTGCAATGACATTGACCTGTCGCTGAATCACACATGCCTCCATTGTGGCACTGACATTCCTGAGAACAGTTTTTTCCATAACGGCCCTCCGGACAAGGCTGACCACAGACTGTGCCCTGTGTGCAAACACAGTTTTAATATTAGGTGTGACAAGGGAAGGCAGTTGGAAGGAAGTGAGGAAATTAATGGAATCTTGTATCACTTTGCTTATGCTCATGTGGAAAATGCCACATTCTTTATTTTAGTCTTAAACACAAGGTATATTTTGCCATAGGTGTTGGGGCAATACTCTTCTAGGATTTCTATCCTGGAAGCTAGAGCTAATCAAAAACGTTATCTTCAAATGACAATAAATATTTAGATATTTGAGCCTAGCTGATGCCAAGGTCTTCTTTATTTCTTAATTCAAACTATAATATACCAAGATGTACAGAAATGCTTTCTTGTACACAGTAGCATAAGAACCAACAACTGCTGCAATGTCCAGTCATTTTGATTTGTGTTTAAAATAAATAAAATCTACTTTGAATTTTTTAATAAAGTTCTTTAATGTTAACAGTTATCCTCCTTTCACACCGGTTCTGAACCTCTGCAATTCCACTTGTATCCATGGAGTTATTTATATCTATGTAATGATAGAGGAATCGCATCTTAAGGCTTTTAGGAAATCAATTCCAGAATAAGACGTTTATGGTCATGTAAGCAGAACTAACACAAGAGCTTGTAGAATTTGTGCCTAGGTATTTTACAGCGGGTTTACAAAGGTAATAAAAGGTAATAAAAAAGTTGGGCTGCAGCACTGCAGTTGGGAACTGTGAAATTTCAAATGTCAAAGAGGTATAATTAATCACTGATTTTGGATAGAAAAGTAGCCATATAGATAAATGTTTTCATCATCTTTATTTAGATTAAAACAGTGCCAGGAAACCATGAAAATGCTTATGAATTATCATTATTATTAATAATGTATATTATGGGATTACTGAGACACCCCAGTCAGAACTGGGGTGTCACCTGATTTGTGCTCATTAGTAACCAACACATAGGTGGACACATTTTTTGCCCTACAGAAAGCTGTAAGACAGCTACATAATGGGACTGATCACTAATATATATTTTTTTTGTTTTTATCCTTACTAGATAAACTCCAATCTCCAAATCCCCAACCATCTTAGCATCTAGCATGATTAGGTTTAGTTGTTAGATATACAGTATTCCACATCTCCCTCATACTCTACTATCTTACTCATGCTTTTATAGCATTTTCCCCCCTCCACATCGTGCTTGAAGGCAAACAAGATTTTGCTCATTCTTTCTGCTGTGGCTGTGACAGCAGGGAGGGATTCTTGCAGGTATGAGGTGTTAGAGTGTACGTGGACCACAGAATGGCACCAAAATCAGTTATGAAGCAGATGTTCTGGTTTAACTGCATTCCTGAGCTGTAAGAATGCCACCAGAGTTCATTCATTACCCACCCTTCTACTTCTCTTTCAGTAGGTTGGTACTGTATATTTCAAAATACACATATAAGCTGCCATCCAAGGTGCTATAGGTACATTAAATTATATTCATAAGGACTTGAAATTTAGAATCAAAGGAAAAACAGAACTGAAAGGAACCCTCAGGAGATAATCTAGTCCAGTGATGCCCAACTCATCTAGCCCTACAGGCTGGATGAGTGGAACAGAGCCAGTCTGTGGGCCAGATCTGGCACGTGGGGTTAATCTGCAGGCTGGATGAGCACCATGAAGCTAGTTTGTGGACCTCATCTGGTGTGCAGTGCCAGGCCTGTCCTTGGGCCCAATATGGGGCATGGGACTATGCTCAATACAGCATGCAGAACCCGTCCAGCCCATGCGGTTCCCTACAGTCCAGAAATTAGGTAGCAGGATGAGTGACAGAAGTGTTAATTGCCATAACTCTAGAGCAATTTTCACTGCCACTGCTACCCTGCTGCCAAGTTTCTAGAACATGGGGAGCCCAAGGGGCCAGATGACATGGCTCTGTGGACCATACCTTGATTGTCCCTGATCTAGTCCAACCCGCTGCTCAGGGTGGAGTCATCTCCTCCTGTACTTTAATCAAGTTTCAAATGATATCTGTGGGTGCCTGTAGACGTGGGGGGGAGGCTACTCTGATGCACTGTAATTACAGTGCACAGGAGCACACTCAGTTTATCAAGTCTGCTGGAGCATGCCAATTAGTGTGCTCCAGCCAGCCTCCACGTATCACGTATCAACATCTCCATGCTTCAAAATGATGATGGGGGTGCTTTAACTAAAGCTCAATTGATGAGCGCCCTGCCACCATTTTGAAGCACAGGGACGCTGATGCACGAGATGCTGCGAGTGCTTTAATTACAGCAGGTCTTGGAGCCATTCTAATTAAAGTGCCACTCCCCACAACCCTCAGCGCATCTAGTAAAAAAGCCCTGTATGCTCTAGAAAGCACATTTCCTTTTCTCACTCTCTGAAAATGTAGTAAAGCAATCTAGAACTGGGGAATCTGGACTAGCATATTTTGTTTAAATATTTGATTTTGATTCCTTGTGGGTATAAAGTATACTAAAATACATTTCCTTTTATCTCTAGATATAGTCAAAATATATTTGCTCTTCTAATTAAATTCCCTTCTGAAGTTTCTTGATCTCCATAAACACAGAAGTCTAACCAAGTTATACTGTATTTTAGAAAGCAGTTTTACCATCCATCCAGGTGGGCAGGCACATTCCCCAGTCACATGGTGACACACTCCTCCATTCTGGCAAGGACATCTTTCTTCACACTGCGGCCCATGCTTGCCTGGGGGGCAAAGATCCTCACAGCTAAAAATTGGTGCACAGTGAATACAATTGTTACTTGTATGAGCAGCTGAATCCTCCTCCCTTTCATTATTTTAATAGTATACAGAATTCTTCAGGCTGGCAACATGAAACACCAAGTCAGGAAAAATAAAGGGAAATATCCCTAAAATCTCACTGGAACAGTTTTATGCCTCTATTAAAATAAAGGCAACAATTACAGAATTGTTGGTATATGTGTTTTTAATTAAGCATTTTGCTCTCTCAACAAATGCAGTTAAGGTTCATTTTTATGTCTGCCGGAGGGATTAACCTAATCAACTACATTCTTCACCGGTTCATTTTCCCCAATAGTGTCAGACTCTATGGGCATGTACAGATGAGCCCACATGTGCAGATGAGCCCACAAACCGCACATGGAAGCATTTGCCTGATCCTGCTTCCTCATAGGCCTTCTTAGTGGGACATGGCAGTTCATTAACTAGTTAGGTAGTTGTGTATACAAGTAGATTTGCTGCCCATCTAACAATCTATTATGTGTGTTTAACTATCCATCCACTTTCAAAAACAATGTATTTAACCTGATGAACAATGATTTGAAAATGTAAAATTCATTTTCCAAATCTTAAATTGCTATCTGCCACCTAACGTAGCCAATACATTTGCACATTCATTCAAATTTACGCTGTAGCAGGTCGAGTTTTCAATTTTCTGTTGATTCTGGCACAGGAAGTGTACTAGGGGTGAAGACTTTAACTGAAAACACAGATCTAAAAGCTGAAGTCAATTCTCAAACTGCTAGTGTTACTAGTCCAATTTGTCACAGCATTTTAAGAAGGGTGTCTAATAAATATGAAGGAATACAATAACCAAATACATAGAGATATATTTTAAAATGAGAACAGCACACTGTTAACTTCGAACTAAACAGATTATCTTGGTTAGCATCATGCCAACACACACCCTCCCACAATAAATAACATACCCTCCACTTACAAAGCCCCAGTGTATCCAGGAGGGCATCTGCATTCTCCAGTCACATGATCACAGGTAGCTCCATTTTGACACTGACACTTTTGGTGGCAGTCATTTCCATATGTCCCTTGGTCACAGCGTTCTTCACAGCGCCAGCCTTTGAATCCTGAAGCACAGTGGCAGGCTCCAGTGATAGGGTTGCATAAGGCTTTGTTTTTGCACTGGCAACGACTACTACAGTGGGGTCCCCAGTGGTCACTGTCACATGCTGAGGGAGATAACATTTTCACAATGCTTTTATAACGATTCACGTTAAAATACTGAAGAGAAGATCTCGAGGTACCAAGAGCACTTCCTTATAAAATGGGACTAGCAATAGCATTGCAGTCAGGGCATCCTTAACCTTCCTCATTTTTTAAGGTTTTTGATAGCCATATAGGACTCAGATTTGTGAACTGGAAATTATTTCTTAACCTGCAGTAAAAGTACACAGGCATTTAATCCGTTAGGGAAAAAACCATAGGTCCCTAGATCTTCCAGTGTGTTCCAATGTGGAACTGCAATTATGCTTGTAAAGCCAAAGAACAAAATTCTTCACCTGATGGTCTAACCATGATGGGGTGTAAAATGAGAATAAAATATAATTTATAATCTGACTTCAAGGAACAAATATATAGTGAAATCCTACACTGAAGTTATAAAGATAAAAGTATTGTCATTACTGCCAGCATGGACCCCTCCCCCTGCTTGTTTTTTGTATTCTAATTTCTCTCCTCCTTATACTTTTCTTTCTGCACTTCCTTTCACAGTATCTGATGAAGTGAGCTACAGCTCATAAAAGCTTGTAGTATACACACACACACACACACATATACAGGTTTCCCTCGCTTTATGCTGTACATGCATTCCTGGAAAACGGAGCATAACTCACATTCGCATAAAGAGAACCCACTTTACAATGTACCAAACAGGGATACGTTCCAAGACCTCAACTGTACTGACCCCCAGACCAATTTCTACCACTTTTACAAGACAATTTTGGTACTCACCAACAGCAGACAGTACACACAAGCACAGGGAACTATCATAATGGGGATGGCAACTACAGAAACACATGTTGCAGACAACGAGCAAGGAGCACATATCCACATGGGAGACTATATTTGGGTGCGTGTCACTGCCACAAAGCACCACACACAACATCTGACAGCAGGCTTCCACCACACCAATCGCATAAGAATGAATTTACCTTGCATATAACAAATTTTTGGTATAAAAAGGGTCATCACATAAGAGTGAATTCACACATACAGAACCCCGTAAAGCGAGGGAAACCTGTATATATGTGTGTGTGTGTGTGTGTACATATACATATACACACACGCATGCGCACACACACATAAATACGTATACATATCTGTATCTATATCTATGTTATTCTATATTGGTTACTCTATAAGGTTCAAATCTATCCTGCCCTTCTATTATTATCAGTGTCACACTGAATGGCAGGTTTTTCTCCAAAATGTGAAACTTCTAAATGATGTACATATTTATTTATTTATTTTGCATACTTACAAAACTATTTATTTTCTGATTTTATAATACTATTAGCTGACAGTGTTGTAGGCAACGTGAGAAGTGTTCCACTAGATAAAAGCAGACAAGGTTCTTTGGGTAGATGTAGTATCTTTTATTAGACCAACTAAATAATTGGAAAAAATGTTCCTTGCAAGCTTTCGGGCACAAACACCTTTCCTCCTAGACACGAGGAACTAATAGTTATGGGGTTTGTTAATAGGTAGCATCATGAATAGTAACATGACCAGGCATCTGGTCTACCACATGATAAGCCATCAAAACTCAATAGGTAAAGCCTTCTCAAAATATTTTTTCTCACTATTAAAAGGAACACTGAGGCAAGGTTTTAAAAGTGTTCAAATTCAAAATGTTTTGAATTTCTTTCAAAGTGAGAAATATGAACATTCTATAAAAAGGAAATAAAGGTCACCTAGAGTTCACCAGAAATGTGTTAATCGTGGTCAAATGATCTGGTTTTTATTCTTAAATTCTTTTGATAACAACAATGGGACCTCAGTTGCAATGACTGGATGTCCATACTCTCTCCCTAGCGACTAACAACTATTGTTCACTCAGTCTTCTCCTGGGGCAGAGCAGCTAGGCGTAGAACAGACCTACTTTCTTAGAGTGAGACAAAAGAACTCAAGACATCTCCTCAGGGCAAAAATTACTTTGCTATAGAAACTGATCACTCAGACTACACAAATCAAAAAGGATTAGGGTTCTTTAAAGATTTTTTCTTTCTATATGGCCAATGTCCTCATTATTTCCTAAGATCTATGGAATGCTTTGAAGTGACAGCCTCCTCTTAAAGAAGGTCACTGGAACATGAAATATAGACATTGTTTACATATATGTACTGTGGCTGAAATAAATAAATAAATGTGGTAACTTAGTACAAAATTTCTATACTCAGGATGCCCATTTTATTTCTTCATCCCTATCTCTGTTTTCCTTCCTTAGCTATTTATGCATTCGTTTTTATGTACTGGACGTTGTACAAAGCACTACAATGCATATAACACAAGATGGATGTCTTTCCTCATTAAAACTCATACAAATTCAGGACTCACAAAAAACTACTTTGCATGTGCTAGATGTAAGAGAAAATGTAATCCTCAGGCAGAATCAGTCATCAACTTCTTAGGAAACCAGTTGTTCTGGGATGTATATATGTGTACAGTACATTTTTGAGACAGACAGATGTTCTCTCATGGCTGCATGAAGATCACCATCCTCATTTTGCTTAACACCTCCTGATGGATTCAGATTACAGTCTGTCTGCTGCCTCCAACTAAAAGGAATAACTTCAGTCACTCCTCATGAAGAGCTTAAAAATAATTCTAAATGCCTTGTGCTATCCAAAGGACCCACTGTGAAGAAATGAATAATTTCAACTGACCACTGGATAGCAGCCCTTTCAAATAACACAAAATGGGCCACATTCAGCCCTGCTATAGAATTACAGTAGGGATGAACAAGGCTCAAACTCTTTTGATATGGTATATACAAAGCACCACTCAGCGAAATAAAAGATACATTTGGCTGACAGTTTCCTCCTTGTATTTTTTTACCAGAGGCAAAATATGAGATATTTGATGTAATTCACCAACAACATTTATGCAGATATACAGAGGAACAGCTTAACTAGTCTCACACGTAAACAGACTTTGCTACTGAAAGCCTACCCCACTGCCAATGAACCAAGCAATATGCACAAAGACTGGCATACTGTACCATGCACCATGATACCTATATGAGCGGAAACAAATACGCTATTTCTCTGAATTGGAAACTTCCTTCCAAAAAAATTTTTAGAGACCTGAACTGTATATTGCTTGATAATTTATTAGTTTCCTGCTCGTGTTCTCATTCTGTTTGTATAAAACCCATTCAAATAGAAAACATCAGGTGTCCAGTGATTAAATTTCCAATTTTGAAATTATCTGCCTGAAGACGGTCGGTTGTATAACAAGTATTGACTACACCATTGTTTTATTATAGCATAATGCCAGAGCTTTTTACCAGAATAATTACAGTTTTCATATAGTCTCTTATGTTAGAGCTGTCACAAACCTACTATCCAACTGTGACATATGGGTACTGTTGCAGAAAAAACTTGCACGATTAATGGGAATAAATAATATTCTTGAACAAGATAGATACATCATATACTTTATCTCTATATCACTTGACCTCTAATCAATAATGTCTCCCATAGGAAATTAAAGTGATTTGTCAGAAACACATACTGGGATTACCACAAAAAGAGTACAAATAATAGAAATGCTTCCTGTGGGGAGTTTTGTTTATTTGTAATTAGTTCTAGAGGTTACATTTACCAAATATTACCCCAGACTATTTTTACTGCTGCCTAATATTAAAAAACTAAGAAAGGCAGGCTGGTAATCACACAGCTGTTAATCTGGTGAAATGGGCAGTCTTTGAGTTAATGACTATCCTCAGGTTACAGACTGTCAGCTGGAGTTTAATCAGAATAGCTACTGTAATGACTGTCCTGACTACTCCAAGGTCACTTACACACAGACACATGCACAAACACACAGGCACAGAGGAAGAAGAAAGTGTCAGCTACTGACTTCCAATTGGAGCAGTAATAAATCATCAAAATGCAGTGTATGAGAGAGGGAGGAAGAGAACCACACAATAAAAAGAAACAGAAGTCCCAAATTCAGAACACATAACAAGACTCAGATTTACTAATTCAGAGAAATGGTATGCCAAAGCAACATAGAAGGCATGGTTGCTTTCTAAACAGGTCACATTTGTTAGCATCCAGAACTAAATGTGAAATTTATAAGTTAGTTTTTATTACATCTAATTATATAAATTTACTATAGGCTGTTCAACAGTGTTATAAGACAGAAACTCTACTTGCAAAGTATTTTAATATTTTGTTCCTAGTAGTGAATGAGCTTTACTCTGTAAAAGTTTTGCTTCTGGGAATAAATATGGACCTCACAAAAGTCAAGGGCCAAATTCTCATTGAATTTGGCTCTTGACTTTTGTGAGGCCAATATAAAAAATTATATACATTTACTATAGACTGTTTAACAGTGTTACAAGAGTGAAGTTCTACTTGCAAAGTGTTTTAATATTTTTTCCTAGTAGCTAATGAGCTTTGCTCTATAAAGGTTTTGCTTCTGGGAAGAAATATGGGCCCCACAAAAGTCAAGAGCAAAATTCTCACTGAACTTAATGGGATCATAATTTCATCCCGGGTCTTAAAGTAATGAAATGGAAGTTCTGCTAGGACAGGCTGGGGACACCTCTAGTAGCACAGATACACTGATTTAAAGAGAATTACGGTAAGTTGAACCAGCAGAGGATCTGCCCCAGTCTATCTGCCATGAATAAAAAGTGGCCCAGTTCTAACCTATTTCTTGGGGCATAGGCGCCTTTATGTATAACACAATGTAAAACCCATTTTTCTCTGTTTATTGCTTTGACTATGCTCTTATGGGAGTCATAAGGTTCTTACATCCTACATCTTGCACTGCAGGATAAAATTCAAGAGAAATGTTTACTAACAGCTGTCTAGACTTTTAGCAAAGAAAATTATTTGATGCCACTTCTTTTTACCTTTTTTTATTCTATGCTTTCTGTTCAGTGAGGAATATATTTTTCTAGACCCTTCAGTAAAAGCTCTGTACATCATCACATCAT